AAAAAAATGCAATTAAGTCAAAAGTACAGATGAAGCCAACTTTAGGCAAAGAGATATTGCTGAGGATGTACAAAAAACAAATTTTGTCAATCAAGTCACATTTCATGGGTACTAAGGGAAAAAAAAAAAAACCCACCCTTTAAATGACCTTAACAGAAAATGCTATGGTAGTTGTTTTTTTAAAATGAGACTTCTTCACAGCCAAGTAGATTGATTTATAATTTCATTTTATACTAGATTAGGTTTTTACAAAAAAGAAAACATAACAATCAATACATTAAAATACAGTATGGTCATTATAGCTATAATGATTATTTCATCTAGTATACTAAACACAATAAACAAATAAGATTCATATCCAATGTAAAAAGGGAGAGTCTGAGTCAGGCATGGTAGTGCATGCCTGTAATCCCAGTACTTGGGAGATGGAGGCAAAAGGATCAGGAGTTTAAGGCCATCCTTCATCACACAGTGAGTTCTAGGCCAGCCTAGGCTACATGAGATTTTATCTCTTTGAAAAAAAAAAAAAAGGTGGGTAGTTATGAATAGTAATGGTCAACTTGACAAGATCTGCAGTCACCTGGAAGGCAGGCCTCCAGGCACTCCTGTGAGGGATTATTTAGCCTCTGGACATTCCTGTGAAGGATTCTGTTAATTAGGTTAAATAAGGTGAAGACTCAAACTAAAAATGGGTGGCACCAGTCCCTGGACACTATTAGATGAGAAAGTGAGCTGAGCACAGCATTTATTGCTCTCTGCTTCCTGACTATGGATGTGGTGGGATCTGCTGCTTTAAATCATTGTATGTTAGAAGTATGAAACTGGGGGCTGGAGAGATGGCTCAGCAGTTAAGAACACTGACTGTTCTTGCAGAAGACCCAGGTTTGAACCCCAGCATCTGCATGGCAGCTAACAACCATCCGTAACTCCAGTTCCAGGGGATCTGATAGCCTCTTCTGTCCTCCACAGGCTTTGCACGACACGGGTGCACTTACTTACATGCAGGCAATACACGAATACACATAAAATAAAAATGAAAAGTATGAAATTTACTTTTTATTTTATAAGTGCTTACAGTTAAAAGATCTTAGACTTTTAAAGTTTTGGGATTGTTAAAGACTATGGGAACTTTTAAAATTGACTGAATGCATTTTACAGGATAACATGGTCATAAGCCTATGGGGGAAAGCAATAGAAGGTGATGGCTTAAAAGTGATTGTGTTTGTGTTTGGGTGTCAAGTTGACAAAGGGTAGAGATCTAAGAATGAGTGTTAACTGTCAACTTGACAAATTCTAAATCATCTGAGAGATGGGCCTCTGAGTATACATGTAGGGGATTGTCTTGATTACACTAATTGATGTAGAAAGACCCATTTTAATTGTGGGTGAGACCTGAGCCATATAAGAGGAGAAAGTGAGCTAGGCACTAGTTTGCATTCATTCAATGCTCTCTTCTTCTGATTGTGGATATAATATGACCAGCTATTTCAAGGTCCTGCTGTCTTGACCTCTCCAACCCTGATAGACTGTACCTTAAACTGTGAGTTAAAACAAACACTTCTCCCTAAACTTGCTTTTGTCAGGATATTTTATTACAGAAACTCGGGAAAAAAAATAAAATAAAATAAAATAGGAATCACAAGAATTAAAATTATTTGTACGTGTGTATGTATACTTATATCTGTATATATCTGTACATATGCAGCCTTTGTAGATGTACTTGCATATAAAACCCACACAGGAATAAAGAAAAACACCATCAGATTGAAGATATGTGTGTAGTGGTTTAACAGGTGTCTCTTAAGACTCTGTGCCTTCTTTGATTTTCAAATTTTCTGAAGATCCATGCATTACTGCTTGGGGTCTCAAAAAACATTCTTTCCTAAAAAGTTAACCATTCGTTTTTGGCTTTTAGATTTGCTTTTTTTAAAAAAGAGTGGGAGAAATCACCAGATTTCAGTCTGGTGGAACCTTTACAAAAAAAAAAAAAAAAAATTCAAGTTGTGCTAGATAGCTTTAGTGTCAACTTGACACACCTGGGTTGAGGGAGCCTCAATTGAGGAATTTCCTCTATTGGACTGGCCTGTGGCCATGTCTGAGGGGCATCTTCTTGATGAGTGATGTGGGAGGGCCCAGCCCACTGTGGGTAGTGCCACCCCTGGGCAGGTGGGCCTGTGTTGCATAAGAAAGCAGGCTGAGCAGGGGCCAGGGGAACAAGTCAATAAGCAGCATTCCTCCATGGCCTGTGCTCCAGATCCTGCTTCCAGGTTCCTGTCCTGAGTTCCTACCTTGGGCTCCCTGATGAACTGTGACCTGGGAGATGTAAGCTGAATAAACCCTTTCCTCCCCAAGTTGGTAGTGGTCAGAGTATTTTGTCACAGCAATGAAGAAACAAACTAGGACACAAGGAGTATCTGTAATGAGACTGGAAGAAAACAATCTTGATATTTCTGGCAATCAATTTTATGATCTTTCATTTTCCTGATGACTGAGTGACCATCCCACTCTGACTGCACTGGTGGTACACAGGTATTGCTCTGCTTTCTGAAAATGCAAAAGGTAAACATAAAGTCCTCAAAAGTAGTTAGGCAATACTCCTAGACAGAATCCAGAAGTTAGTATCTCTTATAGGAAAAAGCCCAGTTAGAGACAAGAGTTGGAAAACTTGAGGATCTCCTCATATGGGGAATCCATGCCTGTGCCTGCCCCTGCAACAGAGCCTCAGTGACTTAACACAGTTAGGAACTGCCCTGGGCAACTCTAACTGGAAAGCCTAACTTTCTAGTAAATAGTCAGTTATATATACTTAAATCTCACTTCTTTTCTCCTCTTCCTTTGTCTAGCACTTTCTAAAACCACATTCTAAGTAGCTATAAACTATGGTGTTTTCTTTTATTCTAGTAGACGTAAGATATGGGGGATGAGGGGAAGAAACATGATGTTTTTCTCAATAATCACGAAAAACATGAAAGCTTACTTTCTTAGATCCAGTAAGTATACCAGGTATTGAATCAAAGTTATTTATGGACGGTGGCCATAATGGAAAATAAAATGTGACTCAGGGGCTGGAGAGATGGCTCAATCAGTAAAGTGCTTGCCAAACAAGCATCAGGACCTGAATTTGATCCCCAGCACCATTTAAAACGTCAGGCATGGGGCCAGAGAGATGGCTCAGCAGTTAAGAGCACTGGCTGCTCTTGCAAAGGATCCAGATTTGGTTCTCAGCATCCACAAAGCAGCTAACTATCTTCCATAACTCTAGTTCTAGGGGATCCAATATCCACTTTGGACCTCGGTGGGCACTGCAAGACATATGCGCACTCTTACATGCAGATAAAATACTCATACACATTTAAAAAAATATTGTTTTTTAAAAAGTCAGATATGGTGGTATATCCAGTGCTGGACCCTATCTCAAAAACAAAATGGATTGTTGTAGAAAAATAACACCCAAGGTGGACCACTGGCCTCCACATGCAGGAGCATATATATGCATGCGCATACATGTATACATGCACCTGCATACACACCCTTTCCACACACAAAATAAAGATGTAGCTCTATTTAATCCATCCCATTTTTTGTTTTATTTTCTTTTGGGGTTTTTTTTGTTTGTTTTTTGAGACAGGGTCTCCCTGTAGCCCTAGCTGGCCTGGAACTCGCTATGTAGACCAGGCTAGCCTAGAGCTCACAAAGATCTACCTGCCTCTGCTGAGTGCTGGGATTAAAGGCATGCACTACCATGCCCGGCTAACCCATCCCACTTTAATGCTTTGTATTAGTTTTTCAGTTTTTGATAGAATCCATGTGTAACCCTCACTCCACAGAACCCATGGACTCAGAAAGAAGCAATAAGATACTAAAAGCTGTTCTGCTTCCAGAGCAGTATTACTAATCATTTTGGAAATGCAGATTAAAGCCAGAATGAGATACTATTTCTCACCTATTAGGACAGGCTGTCATTTTTAAAAGGAAAACAATAAACATTTGGAAGCATGTAAAGAAACTCGTGCCATTTGTGCATGGCTGATATGAACGAAAAGTGGCCCTGCCACTGTACAAAAAGTTAGATGGCTCCCCAAACGCTTAAGCATGTGATACACCCAAACAAACTAAGAGCAGGGATTTAGATAACTTGCATGTCAGTATTCAGCGCTGCCTTATACATAATAATCAAAAAAGTAGAAACAATCTGAATGGCTACCAACTGATGAGTGAATAAAGAAAACACAGTATACACATATACTGGGATATTATTCAGCCTTAGAAAGGAATGAAATTCCAAGTCATGCTACAACATAGTTAAACCTCAGAGGTATCAGAGTGAAATACACCAAACACAAAGGGGTAGATGCTATACGATTCCACTGACATGATGTTTTAGACTAGGCAAATTCATGGAGACAGAAAGCACAACAGAGACACAGGGGACAAAAGAAGGGGAGATGCGGAACTAGGGTTGAAAGGATAAAGGCATTCTGTTTGGAATGAAAATGTTCTGGAAAAGATGAAATAGTGATAAACAATGACAGTGTACTTAATGACACTGAACTGTGTACACTTCAAAATGACTATAGTAAATTAAAAAGAATAATGGATGATTAAAACAAAAGCAGTAACTTAGTGTCAATATACTACACACAGCGAAGTAAAATGTAGAGTATTAGCAGTTTGATGACGAAAAAGAAACATATAAGCACACTATTATTAAGTTCTTCTACTATAAGTAGCATGGCATTAACATCACTAATGGGTAGACTGTGATAAGTTAAAGACATATACATGCCTAAAACAACTACTAATATAAAATAGTTATCAACAGTAAACTGACAGATGACATAAAATGGAACCATAAAATATCAAGGAACAAAATGCAGCCTGATCCAAGAATGATCAGTTAGAGAAACTCCTTGATAAAAGCATATATTAAAAGGTCAGCTTATTAAAGCCTACTCAGAAGCATAATTAACTCAATGAACATAAATGGCAAAAGCACTCACTGCCCAGACAGGTGATGTGAAGCCCAGAATTGCAGCCTTAGCTCCATCAGCAACATAAGGAATAATATTTTCTCCTAGGCGTGTATCTCTGAACAAGGCTCTGAGGATATTTAAAGCATGAACCTAGGACAAATATTTCACAATTATTAATGGTGAGTTTAAAACTATGGTTATTCTAAACCTCACCATAAAATTACAAGAAGAAATGGACAATTCACAAATGAAACAGCAAATTTAAGAAAATACATTCAAGCTGGGTGTGGTGGCTCATGCCTTTAACCCTAACAGAGGCAGGCAGATCCTGGCTAGCCTGGTTTACAGTTTCAGGCCAGTAAAGGCTATATAATGAGACCCTGTCTCCCAAAAACAAACAAACAAACAAACAAACAACAAAAAAACCCTCAAGAATTGATAAACCTAATTTAAAGAGTTTAAAATTTTAAACACTGCAATAAAAAAGGCTTGATCCATTGAACACATGTAGCATTCTGTACCTACCAAATAAAAACAAGGATATGTAGAACTTTTTTTCTTTTTGGTCTTTCTGAGACAGGGTCTCCCTGTAGCCCCAGCTGTCCTGGAATTCACTATGTAGACCAAGCTGGCCTTGAATTCACAGAGATCCGCCTGTCTCTGCCTCCCAAGTGCTGGGATTAAAGACGTGCGCCACCACACCCGGCTGGAACTTTTTTTTTAGTGACCTCAAACCTAGCCATAAATTAAGTCTCAAAAAGTAGCAAATAATTACTATCTTATGGATTATGTTCTGATCACAATGGATACTTTAAAAATAGACAAGAAATTCCAACGGACTCTGATATGAACATCTGAAATTTGCCCTGTTCTGACTTTTCTGGTTCCCTGTCTAGAACTTGTAATGCTAACTACTCTGGCCTTTACTTCTCCTTCACATCTCCTATTCACCAGTCAAGGACTTCTTTTCTCCCTACTCCCTACTTTTCTCCCTAACTCCCTAAGGAGTTATGCAATTTGGAAGTCTTTTAGATAGACCCACTGAAGGCGTACCCGAATTGCCTCACCCTGCGTCCCTATGCAGCATGGAAAAAGCCAGAGAATGGTTTGCTTTCCAACTCCCTAACAGCAATTTGGGTAACCCCTTCAGAGGATGGTGCAATAAGTATAGGAGGTAGGAATTTGCTAGGCAGTTAGGGTAAAAAGACCCCAAAGAAAAGTAGCCAGTTTCTTGGCTAAAAGTCAAAATGTCCTTGGGCCTCTTAGCAACATACTCTGTTCCAAAGGCCAAAAATGTCAAAAGTATTTGGGAGCTTTTATCTAATCCTTAAAAGATTTTAGGGTTACTTCTTCAGAGGGGAGAATGTTAGAGTAGCAAAAAGCCCCATAAAAAAATAATAATAGAAGAAAGAATACATGACATTATCAGAAAAAAATGATGGGGAGATGTGGGAGGAGTTGGAAGGGGGGGGAGTGGGAATGGAGTTGATCAAAACACCCTATATGCAAGTATAAAATTCTCAATAAATCAAAATAAAAACAGATACATTTTAAAACACTGGTTTAAAAAAGTCTTTGGCATTTATAATTTTTACTTTATTTTTATTATATGTGTATGAGCATTTTGCCTGCATGTATGTAAGTGCACACTTTGAAGGTCAGAGATCCCCTGGAACTGGAGTTTTAGATGGTTGTTAACCACTATGTGGGTGCTGGGAACAAAACTCAGGTCTTCTTCAAGCTCTTAACTGCTAAACCATTTCTCCAGCACCTATTTTTAGTATTTAGACTTGAATAGTATCAAGGCTTCTACACATTGACACTATAGAATGTACTTTAACTGATTTTTTAAAAAAAGAAAAGAAAAGAAATATCACCAGGCATGATGGCCCATGCCTTTAATTCCAGTACTCAGGAGACAGAGGCAGGCAGATCTCTGAGTTTTAGGACAGCCTGGTCTCCATAGCAAGTTTTAGGCCAGCCAGGGCTATATAGTGAGACCCTATTTCAAAAAAGAAAGAAAAAAGAAATGTATCACCTTCAACAATGATCCTATTTAAAAGCACACACACACACACACAAAAAAAAGTCAATTGGTTTAAGTAGCAATTAAGAGCATTAACAAATGCAAAAGCTGGCTGGGTATGGTGGCCTACACCTTTAATCCCAGCACTGAGGAGGCAGAGGCAGGTGGGTCTCTGTGAGACCAAGGCCAGCCTGGTCAACATAAGAGAGTTCCAAGCCAGGTGGGACAACAGGGAAACCCTGTCTCAAAAAGAAAACAACAACAAAAAAACAAAAAAACAAAAAAAAAAAACATTGATTTCATTTCCTTGTAATGATGGAGATCAGACTCAGGGCCTTGTACATACTAGTCAAGTGCTCTACCACCAAGCTACAATCCCCAGCACAAAAGCTGATATTTTCAAAAGTCTTCTTATAAAACTAACCAAGAAGAAAAGAGAAAAGACACAAATAAACAATACTATCAATGCTAAAGGAAGCCCATTGTTTTTAATGTTCTTATAAAAGTAGGTCTTTTTTAAAGTGACAATCTAAGAAAATATAGCCAATTATATTTTTCACATTTCATTTTAAAATGCCTTAATATGGTCATTTAAAAAAAGGATTAATAACATGTTAAATTTTCAAAAGATTTCCCTTTTAGTCATTGGCCACCATGTAATCATGAATAAACACCATAGCCTGCCTATATTCTGGCCCATGGCTTACCTGTAATACCTCCCACCATCTCTGACTCAAAACCATGTGAACTTATTTTTCTTGTCTGTAAACTTCAGCTCTCAGTCTGTTCCCCGAGTGCACATAGGCCTCCCACAGTTAGGCAGGAACATCTTACTATGAAGTGTTTACCAAGGAAATCTACATGATATGACACATATATTATTTACTACTTAGGAGTGAGGTACAACTGTGATGCATATTTAAACCAATTTCAAAAACACAGGTAGTAAAATGTGAACATATCAAAAGTCAGATATCACATTTTAAAAAAGAGTCAACTACTCAGTTATAAAATACACATCAAGTCAAAGAAGCACACTTGAAATTCAAAAGTGACTGCATATTCATTTTCAATTTTTTGATGCAATAGTAATATCATAAAATATAGTAGCTGCATGTTTTTACCAGAGGCTTTTTTTTTTTTGGTCTTTTTGAGACAGGGTCTCCCTGTAGCCCCAGCTGTCCTGGAATGCACTACGTAGACTAGGATGGCCTTCAACTCAGAAATCCACCTGCCTCTGCCTCCCAAGTGCCGGGACGTGCCCAGCCCCAGAGATTTTTAAAAGTTCGCTTTCATCAATACATACCAACCAAATCAAGAGTTTATTTTGTGGACAGGAAATACCAAAAATGAAAAAGAAAAACAGAACATAATAAAACAAAACTCATATGAACTTCATGTATGCTAATCTTCAAAGGTTCTGTATCTTTAGCAGATCCTTTAAAAAATTAAAAACACAGCAAAGACTTAAAACCTCTACCTCCCTGTTGTGCCCTTTATTACCTGGGGGACTGTGCCCAGTGAGGCATCTGGAGGTCCAGCCAAAGTGATCAATTCTTTCATTGTTAGTTTCAGCAAATTCATTTTGCTTTTCTTTGGTTCAGATGCCAACAATGCCTATAAAACACCACCAAAATTAATGGGTTTTTATTTTACATATACCTACTTGATGGTTCTGGAATCAACCCTCAAATTCAAAATCCCCTTTATGAAAACATGGCTTTGTAGGTAAGTTAATTAAGCCAGGCTACTTTGGTCAGGTGGCTTCACCTCTCTGTCCTTTAGATTCTTCATGTTTAAAATTAGGTTAAGGTGGAATTATGTCAAATCTACAGCCCCCCTCTGCTTGCTAATTATATAATTATAAGAAGCTGGGGCTGGAGAGATGGCTCAGCAGTTAAGAGCACTGACTGTTCTTGCAGAGGGCTTGGGTTTGATTCCCAGCACCCACATGGCAGCTAAGAACTGTCCTTAACTCCACTTCTAGGGAAATCCGAAGTCCTCTCTCTTCTGACCTCTGCGGCATTGCATGACATGGGTGCACTCACATACAGGCAGGCAATACACTTGTATACATAAAATAATAAAATATTTTTTTAAAAAGCTGATAAATAAATGGCTCTGATTAATCACTTACTTCCTAAGAGCCAAAATTAGGCAAAGCATCAGATATATAAATAGCAAAAAGCACTTTCAGAAACAAATTTATCAAAAACCAATTCTCTTTACTTAAACAACAAAATGCTCTATATTAGACTTCTTCAAAAGACTATGAGGCCCCCTTGAGATTGATCAGCTATTTAATTCTTCACAAAAGAGTCTACTTCCCGCAAGACTAACCATATTACAGCAAGAAGAAACACTACAAACTTCAAAGGGATCCTGTCTATGAATTTCCAAGGAGCTTTTTATTTACTTTGTGACTAATATCCAATGAAAATAATGGAGTATCAATCCACTTGGGGCAATATAATAAAAAGGAATGAAATACTGATATATGTGACAACATGGATGATCCTTGAAAACATAATGCTAAGTGAAAGAAGCCAGATGCAAAAGATTGAATATCGTATTATTCCATTTATATGAAACATCCAGAACAGGCAAATCCACGGAGACAGAGGAAGATTAGTGGTTGCCCAGGGCTGGGAGCAGCAGAGATGGGGCAGAATGGAGGGTGACTGCTAATGGATTGAACAGGGCATTCAGGAGATGTTCTAAAATTAAATTGTGCTGATGGTCACACAGCTCTGCAAATATACTGAAAACCATTACATTATACACTCCAAATGCACGAATTGTATCTGAACAAAGTTGTGAGAGAAAAATCGCTTCAGTCACATTCTTGAAGTCTCTTCCCAAACACCAGCTTTTTTTAAGTATGTCACTACCGGCTCCCCAGAGCCAAGTTTTCATCTACTCAGCATCTTCTGAAGTTGTTATATGCTTTAAAATAAGATACACAATACAAAACAGGGTTAAAATATATTTATCAAAATACACATATGCTCAGAAAACATGTGTTATGACTATT